TACCCTATCATCAAGAGAAGAATAGTTTTAAAAATCATGATATAGCCAATTATACTAATATTTAAAGCTGTTAAAAATCATACTCTCAAAGAACACTCAAAAATCTGAGAAGATTTTCATAAGTTAGGTTTAAAAAGCATAAAAAGCAAGACACACCATTCTATAAAAAAATTACGATATAAGCAGAGCAAAAGATCGGGTGGATAAAATAATACATTTAAAGAATATAAGTGCCTCTTCTGTGTTAATATCATTCTATGTTAAATATTATACTAAATATTATACTAGGAATAAAAAAGCAAATAAAACAAACATGTTCCCCGCCTTCCTGAAACTAACAATCTAATGAGGAAGATAGATATTTAAAAAACAGTAATGCTACAGATACAGATATGCTACTGTAATAGAAAATGCTAATTATTCCCAGTATTTATTTCCCAATTCTTACTCAGTAATAGTCCTTGAATTTTATCTGGCCACGACCACAGGCAATAAACTACCTACATTTTCCAGACTTCCTTGCTCCTAGCGGGGGCCATATGACTAAGTTCAGGCCCATGGGATCTAACTGGAAGTGGTGCATGCAACCTCTAGAAAACATCCTTAAAAAATAAAGGGCTTGCTCTTTGTTGCTTCTCCCCCTTCTTACCAGATGGAGCAGCTATTTTGGACTATGATGTGAAAGCTGCATGCTGAGAATGGCAGAGCAACAGAATAGGAGGAACCTGGGTTCCCTGACACCATGCAACCACTCTTCACAGGCCTAGCCCTAGGGGCACCTACAGAACTTTTAGATGAGAGAGAAATTAAGTTTTCTCTGTTTACATCATTTTCATTTTGGGTTTTCAGTCATTCACAACTGAACATAATCCTAACTAGAATAACTATGAAGGGAAAGTATGGTTCAATGAGAGATAACAGAAACAGTTGATTTTGACTAGAGGAAGGAGTGTCAGGGATAGCTCCTCTGAGGAAGTGACATTTAAGCTATGACATGAAACCTCATCAGGAGGCCACCAGGTAAAAGGAGACAGGACAGCAAACTGTTCAGGCGGGGGAAACCAAAGCTGCAACCACGAAGGCTTAACCCTGAAGCACCACAGTAACAAGCAACAAACTTTGGGATGTTAAGATTGCCTCCATAAGGAATTAAAATGAAAGCAAAGAACTAGAGCAACTAAGCACTTTGGCTCCATATTGGAATATCTCCCTAAAAGACCATATATGTCTATCAAAAAATAAGGGTGTGGGGAGTGAGCATGACAGTGAATCCTGTTAAAGAAATTAATAGTTGCTTCCATACTTCAGCATTACTTCACACCTGTAATCCCAGCACTTTGGGAGGCCGAGGTGGGCAGATCACAAGGTCAGGAGATCTAGACCATCGCGGCTAACACAGTGAAACCCGGTCTCTACTAAAAATACAAAAAATTGCCCAGGTGTGGTGGCGGGCACCTGTAGTCCCAGCTACTTGGCAGACTGAGGTGGGAGAATGGCGTGAACCCAGGAGGCGGAGCTTACAGTGAGCCAAGATTGCGACACTGCCCTCCAGCCTGGGTGACAGAGCAAGACCCTGTCTCAAAAAAAAAAAAAAAAAAAGTTGGATTCTCTGACTAAAGTGGTTCATGTATTTAATACCATGAGAAGAATGTCATTAGATTTTAAAATGTGAACTATGCCTGAAACAGACAAGAGCTTGATGTTAAAAAATTTTTTACATCATATTTCTTGTCTATTTATGATTCTAAAAGTGAAACATATTTATTGTGGAGCATTTAGAAAATATACATAAGAGTATACAGAAAAAATAAATCACCTGTAAACTTAACCACCTTCCAATATCTTATACTGACACTGTTTTTACGTATATTTACACACCCACATACATATATACACAAAATAAACATAAAAATGGGACTGTAATGCACATAAAGTTGTGTATACTCTCTCACTTATTATTTCAGAGCACATTCCTGTATCATTAAAATACTTTCCAAAACCATGATCTTAATGGCTATATAACATATAATTTATTTAGCCAATCAAGTCAGGGATTTTCTGAGTTAAAACTGTCCGCCACAAATTGAAGCCCTGCAGGTCAAGAAGCTGACTTAGAAATCTGCCAGAGTTTCTTTCAGAAATCTCAAGTTACAGTTTTAAAGCACTAGAACCTTCCAACCAAGAATTCAGTGAAATTCACTGAGTTTTAGCCATGAAGGATGCTCACTAAAGGCTGTATTTTCCCAAATGGAGCATACAATTACATAGTTTTAAGGAAGAAACTGAGTAAGTATCAAAGATTGAAGTGGCAACAGTGAATAAGAACTAGTGTCTACTGCAAGAAATAGTGACTATCTGCAATGGTCTTTCTCTTTTTTTTTTGCTCATGACTTTGGAGGTCAGATGCAACTTTTAATAAAACAAAAGAAGAGAATATATGAGTCCATTATTTGTATAATTAAAGTTTTCTAATAAATATTGAAAAAATGATTACAGAAAAATGCACAAAGAAAAAGAATGGAAGCAAATACGACAAAGAGTTAAGTGCGAAATATGCCATTATTCTCCAAACTTTTCTGTATTTAAAATTTTTCTAACAAAAAAATTAATGTTAAAATATTAGTCATATGGATAAGGTAATTCAGATTTTAGTTATTAAAGTGGAAGGAAAATTGGTTAGGTTCTGCCAGAGGATAAGTGGCTCTTTTGAGGGGGGGGAGAAAAAGGGCACATAGCATTAGGAAACTGTTCTAAAATAAAACTTTTATTTTTTTGAGACAGCATCTCGCTCTGTCACCTAGGCTGGAGTGCAGTGGCACGGTCTTGGCTCACTGCAACCTCTGCTTCCCGGGTTCAAGCAATTCTCCTGTCTCAGCCTCCCAAGTAGCTGGGACTACTGGTGTGCACCACTACCCCCGGTTAATTTTTGTATTTTTAGTAGAGACGGGGTTTTACCACATTGGCCAGGCTGGTCTCGAACCTCTGACCTCAGGAAGTCCGCCCGCCTTGGCCTCCCAAAGTGCTGGGATTACAGGCATGAGCCACCATGCCTGGCCAATAAAACTATTCTAAACTAAACAGTAATATCACATGTTGAAAGTAAGTCTGAGGAAGGATGAGCTTTTGAACTTTACAGCTGTGCTTCCTTCAAGTATTAGCCTACCTAAAAGTGGTATTCTTCTGTTCCATCAAGAAAGTTGTTTTAACAGTTAAGGAAATATAAAAATTGCAGGACTGGATTTCAGTTTCTAATTCTAGTTTTATTTACTTTGTATACCTAAAGTTTTCCTGATGTTAGACATTTTTTAAAATTCCAGTTTCTGAAATGCAAACTTAGTTCAGAGAACAATTAGAGCTTGCCACTTGATGAAATGTCTTAATATAGATAGTTGCAATTTTCTATTCAGTAAGGTCCCTAACAGAAAAAAGATTAAAGAATAAAAAGTTACAGAATAAACCAAATCTATGTCAGTTCTCACAAACAAAAATTTCGAGTAGATGTAAATTTCTAAAAATTGTCCCACTTTCCCCAAATGTAGTCTTAAGTTACCTTAACTTTGCAATAGCATCCCCCAACCCCTACTCCACTAATCAGTTCTCACCTTCTTTCTCTGCTGGAACACGTGAATTTTTCAGCAAATGTGACTCATTCATTGGCGTCTTGTCAAACTAACCCTGAAACTATAAGGAGGCTCAGCACTAACAGAATTCTAAAGCTAGAACACTTTCACTAACACACATCATGTTGACTTTAGAGAACTGAATCACATTCAGAGCCAAATACATACTAACCAACTCTGTTTATATTTTTTCTTACAAATTGTTCTCCACCATCCCACCTCCTCCCAATTTTAGTTTGGCAATTCCCTAATCTAAAATACCTCCTGTCTGTGGAGAAGACAAGATGGGGACGCATAAGAATAGGAGGGGAGAATATAAAGCAGTTGTTCACTCAGCTTGGAAGATGATTCTATTCTGAAACATTAATGATTCATATCTCTTCCACATAGTTCTCAAAGTTTATTTCTCCCCTCAGTTAAATGAAACCACAATAGAAACACAATAAAAAATCTCCAGGAATAAATTATTCTCATTGTTATTATTTCACTAAATAACACCAAATAACACATAAAAATCAGTTATTTAGAACTATTTAGTCAAAAATCTTCAATAAAATGTCACTGGCATGAAATATCAACTGCAAATCACCTTATTCTTTTGATTAACACATTCACCTCCTCCAAGACAGAAAACCACTCTTTCTAACCAGAGGGAGAGCGGTGGGGAAGAAACAAGAAAACAAATGCTTCATGGGATTACCATAAACATCTACTTATAACTCTATCATTTGCCACACTCCACCTGGTGGCAGGCACTGCCTGAACTGGTAAAGTGGAGGTCATCATACAAAAAATTCCAAAGAATATTTTCCTGGTGTCCTTGGAAAAAACCAAGATGTTCTTCTCCTGCCCTGCCCTATATAGAATACGTCTAATAAGTTTTTTCACGTAATAGTAGGTCAATATCTAATAGAGATTAACATAAAGGCGTGACCATACTTAGAATGGGAGACCTACATTTAGAGCAATCTACTTACAAGAAAATTCTCTCCACAGTAAGTTAAATGTCAGCTCAAGGCTTTAAGACAGGTAACAAGGTACATGCAGCACCTACAAGATTCTCTATCACCTATTCTCACTAACTGCCTTTACCCCATCCCCTATGGGTAAACTATGGAGTTTAATTAACACAGTTAACGGCAGCCTGCCACATTGCTTTTAGGTATTTGCCAGTAACATATACCCATGGGATACTCTAGAGACTGATTTCAACCAAAAATAAAAATAGATAAACAGAGCTCAAACAAAATTAAAACCAAGTCTGGCTGCCCACACTTATTTTCACACATGAGGAAAAATAGCAGTTCTCTTAGAAGCCTCGAGCAGACATATCTTTAGAACACAATGTTAAAAATATGCCCCCCTCCCCTTTTCCCCTACCTGTTTCTCACTCAAAGCTGTGATTTTGGCTTGGAGTTCATGAAGCTGTTTCTTTAAGTCAGCATTCTGATTGGAAAGAAAAAATATCTGTGAGAAAGATAGTTCATTTGTTAACAGAATAGTAGCAGGAAGACTATGCATACTGTATTACAAATGATGAAGCAACCTGAAGCATTCAGCCAATCAAATCTGTCATGCATTACACTGTAGCCATAATACCATCACCTAATGCACAGATCCTAAATATAGGCTCCTCTCACCGAAACAGGAGCAGCTCCTCTGCAACTGTTTTAAATTACAGAAAGTTTTATATTTGAGCATCTTATACTCTAAGAGTACCTGTCCACTAAAATATTCTTATTCTTTATAGAAAGTATCCATTAACAGAAAACCCAAAGCTCCACTAATCACACAAAAGTAGGAAAATGGAGGTTATAAGTATGCATACACTACATGCTTTACAGCATTATCAACAAAGATAAGAGGTTTTTCTCCACTTGCCCTCTCCCTTATTTAGCAAAGTACATTTGTTATTTTAGCCTAGATCTGAAAAGCTGTCAGTACTGCAACTGCCTTAACACTACATCATTCAAATTAACACACTGACTACCAGGGCATTTTCTCAGTTCTAAAATTCTAGGAATCAAAAAAAGAATACTATTTTAGATGAGATACACTGAGCATGATTGCCTTTTACTAAAGTAGGCAAAAAATTCCAAAATTAAAGTTTTCAAATGCTTAATGTAGCAGGACAGCCTACTAGCAGACTGAACACCACCCTAATGAGAGACTGCTTTTACTTGATTTGTCTCACATACAATTATTTCAATTTACCCTGCTTGGTCTTCTGTCAGGGTTAGGGAACACATCCTCCCCGTCTATTGAATTTGGTTTACTCCATGTGGACTTTTTTATTAGTGTATTTGACATAAGGCTTCCCCAATGAGATCACCCACAATGCTGTCCAACAAGTTACTGTCCTGCCCACCTCAGATTCTTCAGGTTAAGACAATTCTGTTACATGATCACCAATATTACGACAGAAAGCCTCAAACACTCTGATTTTGAATAAGTGGGTTTATGGAAATGAATTTAAGCTATATGATGAGTATTAACTCAATATTTTTCTCCAAAATACTCAAACCAATTAATATAAAACCAAAATAATAGTAACAAAAATGAAATAATAGCTATATTAAAATAGAATGAATTTTTCTAAACTCTTAAAACCTGAAGATAAATGTATTAAAAATAATTGCTATTAGAAATGAAGTAATTCTTAAAAGTTAAGTACCATCTATATTTAAGTATTTTATGGTGATTTTATTTTAAATTATTTTTAAATTTAACAATTACATGAATAAAAATAGTAGTTTACCTGTGGATCCTGCTTCATCTGAGCAACCAGTTTCTGGTAATAAAGAGAGAAAAAGAGCCATTAGTCTTACATATTAACTCCCTATGGCTAATCAGGTTTGGACCAAAAAATCTAGGATTTTAAGTTAACACAAAACAATGAGCAACACCACAATCAGAACAGACTAAAACCTTCTGTGATGCATGTAATAGGCTCAGGAGACACTTCCTTCAATAAAAAAATCAAACCACCACTTTATATTTGAAATGAAAAAGTGCCTGATTTTTAAATCTGGACAGAGATGGGTGACAATGGCTTCCGAAAGGAATTTAAACAAGCTGGATGCTCCAAAAGCCAAACATCCCTTTCAAATGCTGTCAATGTCTGGAGTCCCAAACAAGGCCTGGAAAGAAGCTGGCCCCACACAAAACCGGCCTGAGCAAAGTACAGATTTGGCAGGTCTATTGATTTGGTTCTTACCACTGAAGGAGTGTAGTGTCCCATGTGACTTTGCCACAGTCTTCTCTCAAGAAGGAGTTAGGTGCAGGGGAGGACAAGTTCAGTGGGGCAGTGATACTCAGTATTTGAGAACAAGGAAGTGCAGGAACAATACAAAATTCTATCTAACTCGATTCCTCTGGGAAAGAGAGTGCTACCCAATACTGAATGGAAAAGATCTTTGCTAGGGAAAACAGAAGCCCAAACAAATAACAAAGAAAGAAAGAAAAATGAATGTCTTTTGACCTAACCCAACTTCTAAAATCATTGCTGCCCAAAGGTAACAATAACCATAGACAGAAGAATTTGAAGGATAAAGGAGCATCAGAAGTCCTAAAGTAACTGGGAATAAGCTATTACCCAAGTCAATTTTTCATGTAATGGAAAAATTTGTCACTCTCTTTTGGTGACTCTCTTTTGGTGACAAGGCACTTTTAAATTGTTTAGTTGTAAAATAAAACCTTTCTAAAAATATACTATATATTTATCTAACTACTACCTTTTTTTTTTTTTTTTTTTTTGAGACAGGGTCTTCCTCTGTCACCTAGGCTGGAGTACAGTGGTGTGATCATGGCTCGCTGCAGCCTTAAACTCCTGGGCTTAAGTGATCCTTCCACCTCAGCCTCCCGAGTAGCTAGGACCCCAGGTGCACACCAGCACACCTGGCTAATTTTTAAATTTTTTGTAGAGACAGGGTCTTGTTATGTTGCCCAGGCTGGTCTTAAACTCCTAGTCTCAATGAATCCTCCCTCCTCAGCCTCCCAAAGTGCTGAGATTAAGGTGTGAGCCACCACACCCACCCTAACTTCTTAAAAAGAAGAAAAAAAATTTTTTAAATCAAGCTTTTATTGATACTTAGAGGAATGATTATATTAATATACTAAACTATAAACAATAGGGTCCTTACAAAAAAGGTCCCAAACTACAATGTTTTAAAGTTCTTAAATCCACACTGTAGTTTTCCAGTCCACTCCTTAACGTCAAGTAGTCAGCCAGAACATTTTTTTTTTTTTTTAAAGATGGGATCTCATTCTGTCACCGAGGCTGCAGTGCAGTGGCACAATCACAGATCAATGCAGCCTCCAACTCCTGGGCTCTAGCAATCTTCCCACCTTATCTTCCTAAGTAGTTGGGACTACAGATGTGCATCAACATATCCAGGTCTGGTTTTTGTTTTTTGGTTTTTTAAAATATTTTTAAGAGATGAGGTCTCGCTGTGTAATGCAGGCTGGTCTCGAAATCCTGACTTCATGCGATCCTTCTGCCTCAGTCTCACAAGTAGCTTGGATTATAGGTTTGAACTATCAGGCTTGGTTAATTTTTATTTTTCAAATATTTTTAAGAGATGAGGTCTCACTATGTTATCCAAGCTGATCTCGAAATCCTGACCTCAAGCGATCCTCCCACCTCAGCCTCCTGAGTAGCTGAGATTACAGGCATAAGCCACCATGTCCAGCTCTTGCTACTATTCTAACAACCCTGAAATCCAGCTCAAATTTGCTGTTTCAGACCTGCTGTGTGGTACACTCACTGGACTAATTTTAAGACGAGGGAATAGGTTGTAATAATCTAAGAAATCCTCCTTTAGTAAAATGTATAATCTTTAGTGTATCACTTCAGACATTTATTCTAATTGGTCAAGTCTTTCTCCCTGGTGCTAAGACACGTTTTAGATAACTGAGGTTGCCAACCATGTGACCTCCAAATACATAAGGTATGTGTCACTATATTCTACTTCATATTTAATGGTAGTAGCTCTTCTATATCCTAGTCTTGATCTACAAAACAGAAACAATACATATTCCAAGAGTTTAAGGGAATTGAAACACAAGGTTTTATACATATACATTTTTACATTAATGCTAGCCACACTCATCAATGAAAAAAGCTCTTGATTTTCCTTTTTGATTTGGTTACCAGAGGGTTGAGCTGAAAAAGGTTTTCTTCCAGACACTGGAATTTAAAAATTCACTGATAACCACATGAAGTCTTCACCTCTAAAGGAAATAAATAAGCCAACTTTTCTATCTATAAGCAGTTAAACTGCATTTTAGACAATCAGGGGTAGGACCGGACAAGCTGGGCAACTTACTGGACCATCCAAATCCCTAGTAACTTTAAGCTGACATCATGTTAACAAAGTTAAGTTACTTTCCACAAGAATGTGGCAATATTTCTTGAGGATATACTTTATGCCAAAGGTAAGCAGAAAAACCCATAGGCCAAATCTGGCCCGCCATTGTTTTTGCAAATAAAGTTTTATGGAAAAAAGTCATATTCATTCATTTATATATTGTCCGTGGCTGTTTTGTACGTGCAACTGCAGAGCATAGTAGTTGTGACAGACCATAAATTACCCGCAAAGCCAGAAATATTTTACTATGTGTCCCCTTTCAAAAAAATTTGCTAACCTCTGTTTTATACTATTTTCCTTTTCATATAGAGTAAATACCCTGAAAATTTAAATGTGATTTCCATCAAAACTAAATAAGGTCAAAGAAAGGAGGAGGAGAAAAGACAATTTCCCCAAAAAGATGAGATGTCCATCACAGGACATTATTACTTAAATATTTATTGAACATCAGCTATGTGTACATTGCTACTTTCGTAACTATCTCCCATTCGTAACAAAAACACAAAGAACAAAAATATACTTTAACCACAGCAATACCAGGTAGTTTCAGAACATATGTTCTATCCAGTAAGCTCAATTTCAGCCCTAATCTCATTCCCTAGCTAGAAATGCAACCAAGGGTGGCTTTTGTCCCAATATTTAGTCAAATGTATGTTCTGGCTTCGGTCTCAGCCTAGTAACCAACGCCCCTACCTTGATGTCATTTCTAGCATGCCTCAACTTGTCATGATCAATGATTGTGTAGGTGACACCATATAAATTATTTTTCCAAAAATAGTAAAGTATTACAGATATAACTGGAGTGAAATATATGCTTTCTCTGTTAAAATATTATTGGCGTAGAAATAAATGTTTATTATCACACAAACAAAATGTTGTATAAATAAAGGATGAATATAAAAGCTATTAATTTTATGCTCAAAGCTGACAGTTAATATGAATAGTAAGACAGTGTTTAGAATAACTTTAGGAACTATATCCCTTTTGAGTCAACAAATGTAAATTTAAAATTTTAATTAGATTTAAAACAGAATAATAAATATTAAGTATTTTCATAATTGCGATGTTTATAAAATTGGTATGCTTGAATTCAGAATATGAAACAAAATATTTAGTAATTAACTTCAATTAATTTAGGTCATGAGCCTTTCAAGAAAGGATTATTTGGGAGACTTGCTCATATCTTGCTAGAAGGAACTAAAGCAGAATGTTAACTTTGCCATCTCAATACTTCTTTAGAGGAGGAAAAACTCCAAAAATCACACACAACATCATAAAATTATCCTTGATCCATATAAATTTCAGATTGACTACTGTACTCCCAAAATTCATTCTATGATGATGTTAGCTTTGCACCAAATGTGAATTTAATTTTTATCACTTGCCATTCAGACAAACTGGGTATTCAACACACCTCTATGTTAAACTAGTTTCACTCAGAAAAAGACAAGCTTGTTTTTGTAACAAATTTCTGCTCTCCTCAGTCAGTACCAGAAGCAAAGTTAAAAAAAAAAAAAGTACACAGCTTATTGCCTACTTAAAGAAGCCCACGTGCACAGGGCCAACTCCACAGCGGAACAAGAGTTTAACGAGATCCGGAGCAGCAGCAGGGATTTCTGAACAGGTGCTTTTGAAGCTTCCTTTAAGTTCTCACCTACACTAATTCTGAGCAATGTGCAAATCTAGTAGTTATCAAAGGCCCAAGATATTCTCCCAATGATTTCAAAAGTTAATGTTACCTTAGACTACTCAGATAAACAAAGGAAACGATACCTAAGAACAAACACCTTTAAAAAGTAGTTTTACTTATCCTTCTCTGCACTCCCATATCCCCAACTGTTACAAATTCAAAAGCAGTCAATGCATCATCCTTTATCACTTTTGAGTACCAAGGATTAGATACATGCATGTGTATGTGTGTCTTCAGCCTGATGTCCAGCTAAAGTCTAGAAAGATATAAAACAATGGTACTCTGTTTACATAACAAATTTTAAATGTATATTTAAAGATAGCTTTTTGTCTTGATTATAGTTATGTATATTTTTACTTTTATATATTCATATATAAATTATATTTAGTATTTTAATATTTTACTATTATATACATAAAATATATTGTTTTACAAATGTATTTAAAATATATTTTATTTACATATACATTTTTATAGTTACTTTAAATGTTTGTTTAGTCTGGGTATCTGAGGTAAAATATAAGAATTGTAAAATCTGAAATTTAAACATCTGTGAAGATAATCACATTTTCTTTAAGGAAGATTGGAATCAACGCATAAAGCTGAGTCATATGATCTGTAAAAACTTTAGTACATATGGTAGTTGAGTTAGACATGTTGTTATTTAAAACATGCAAGTTAAATCACATGAATAAAGTCCTTCAGATGAACCAAAAAGCAGAAAAAAGATTTCTTTCTTTTTTGTTAACACCTTTGGTGTATGAAAAAAATCTTTTCAGTGCTTTTCTCTAGAAAGGAAGTCAGGAATACTTTAAGTTCTTAAAAGTAGTATCTATGACTTTGCTGAGTAGTGATAAAAGGCAAACGACATGACTCTTGGACAAAATTGTCTTAAAGATTATTAAAAACCTTACTAAACACCAGAGATGGGCTTGTTTACTAATCTTAACAACAATGTGGGAGAAGCCAATAATACAACGTACCTGGTGAACCTGAATTTCCACTTTAAGAGCCTCCTGTAGAGTCTGCAACTCCATCCTCTACCTTCTCCACTTTCTCTGCTAATTCTATAGTTTCTTCAGCCTCTGTTTAAAGTAACAAACTCCTCTTCTCACTGCAGCTGTAAAGATCGTAAAATGTTTTGGATCATTACATTTGAAACAAATATAATATTTATGTCAAATAAATTATGTTAGTAAAAAAATATCTGATTCTCTAACGCAGGGCAAGAAATTTCCCAAAGAGACTTTTTTTCCCCAAAACAATTCTTCAAGTATTCCTCTAAAGAACACTTCAAATAACTAAGAAATGAAAAACAAAAAAAGGGTTTAATCTGGTGATGGAAACATCTAAGCACCCACTACATGCTCAGCACTGTATTAATCACTACATACTGAGGATACAGAGCTGAATAAGACCACTTCTGCCTTCAATGAGACTATAACCATTCAGGACACACTGTCCTCAGAAAGAGACATATAACAACAGTATCATACATTTTTAAACTTCACACAGAGTGGACTGGAGAGTTCGGGGTTTCTCAGAGGTTAAAGAATGCCGGGGTAGTTTCATTTGGATGGGTTCTCACTCTACATAAAAAATAGAGAAACTCAAAATGGGGAAATTCTGGTATAACTTAAACATTTACATTTAACAAATTAATACTCAACACAGACAAATACAATGCAATATAACTGTGCTATCACAAAGTTATGATGTGGATATTTTAAAATCTATCTATCGTGTGTAACATGAGGTAGTCTAGTAATGGAACACACATCCAGCTTTACAATGAAAATCATCTTTCAAGCTTGCCAGTCATCTCTTTGACTATACATATGGCAAGTGGAGATAATGTCAAAAGTCTAAATCTGTTCATGTGACACCCAGCTTGACCTTCCTATCCTCCTCCAATCATCACTACTCTAATTTAAATTATTTCAATGGCTAATTTATCCTTTATTATTTTTTTTCCATTCTTGAATGTGGCCTTAGACATTATTTTAGTACTCTGCCAAAGCAAAAGTCTGTTTTTGCCTGAATAAATTTAAATTTTACTTCAAATTTCTTTTCTTCTTTGCACCTATAAAACTTGTAGCTAGAGCTGCTTTTTAGCATTCATATAAACTGGGGAAGAGAACAATCAGAAAGTGAGAGGAACCACTACTCCTTAAACCAATACAATAAGATTCATGATCTTCATACTTCTAAATATTATTTACCTATGGGTAAAGTCTATATTCAACCTAAGTTTTCTAAGAGCCCTTTGAAAACTCTTTTAACAGAGTTATAATGGAATCATTAGGGAATATATTCCTGTGAATATGAGTTTTCATTATATTTGCTTATTCTCATTAGGCATAAAACATCAGCAGAAATCTCTCTCTTAGGGCTTATATACTAGATTATACAACATCAAAATACTCAAACCTAAGAAAGAATAAATTCCAAAAATGCAAAATTCCTTTAAATTCACATTTGCAAACGACAGGAAAAGTTTACTGTAGAATGATAATGTTAACCAAAACATTTTAAAAGGCAGTATATTTAGGGGAGATATTAATAATTTAGAAAGGGAGACATACTGTGGTGAACAAATCTGGGTAGTTTTAGCTACTATCTTTTAAAATATTTGGAATGATAACCAATCAGTCAGTAAGTATCAGAATCATTAAGTCACTAAGACCAAGATTTTTGTTATCATGTAAGCTTACTCTAACTGCAATACTAAAGTTAAAACTACACAGCCACTTTAAATACCAAAATAATCTCCCTACTCAAATTCTTGACTTACATATTACAGTTCTTCTTGAAAACAACACTTGGTTTTAATTTTTACAAGGCTCTACCAGAAAATGTGTCCAAAATGATTCCTTATAATTTCTGTCAAGAATCACTTTGAAGTTGAAGGGGTATTTTTCAAATATTCATACTTCATTCTACTGGTAGTAACATAAAACCATAGTTCAACTCAATTTACATAAACTCTGGAAATGAACGGCAGGTTAAAACATGAAGAACTCACATTATACATGACAAAGGGCTAATATAGTTTATATATTTAGGGCCCTCACAAATTGATAACAAAAATCTATGAAAAAACAATTTACAGAAGAAATAAGAATGACCAAGAAACATGAAGAACTTCCATCATCAATTAAGACACAGAAATATAATTAAGATTATATGTTTTGTCTATTAAACTGAAGACCTATAAAATAATAATACTCTGAGCTGTCTAGAATTTATAAAGTGCCACTTTATAATTTGCTGATGGTTATCTCTAGGTAGTAGCACTGACAATTATTTACTTTCTTCTTTTTAGGGTATTGATATTTTCAAAATTTTCCATAAAAAATATGCACATTTTTTTAAACAAGAAAACATTAACCAAGGATTTGTAGATAAAGCATCAGAAAATGTTATACTATCAAACAAAATGCTCAGGAAAAGAAAAAGTTAAAACCAGGGTTTAACCTGAAGACTGTAAATGTCAAAGAGTGCCTCGCACAATAATAAGCCTGCAACTCAAGTTAATGAGGAGCTGATGGCTTTTACTTTCTCCATCAGATTGTTGTCTGCTTCTTAGAGATACACAAAGGCATGAAGTTTTATTCAGCAAGGACTCTGAATGCCAATTACTCATTTTATTTCAAAATAAAACTGAAGGGTTAAAAAAGTTAGGACTAGTTGTAGAAAAACATATGAAGGATTAGAAGATTCATTTGAAATTCTTTTTCTTTTCTTCAGAAAGGTCTCTTTCTGGATAGTAATTTTAAGAGATTGGTCTGTGCAGAAAGAAATTATAGACATGTATCTATAGTTTACAAAAAAAAGGCAGGTACAAGTTGAATCTTGTTTTTTTAATTTTATTTTTTCTTGTAGAGAAGAGGTCTCATATGTTGCCCAGGCTGGTTACGAATACATGCTGAATCTTTTGAAGAAATTTTTTTCCTGAGACAGGGTCTCACTGTGTCACCCAGGCTGAAGTGTAGTGGTGCGATCACAGCTCACTGCAGCCTCAACTTGCTGGGCTCAAGTGATCCTCCTGCCTCTCAGCCTCTTGAGTAGCTGTGACTACAGGTGTGCCCCACCACACCTGGCTGATTTTTGTATTTTTTTATAGTGACAGGGTTTCGCCATGTTGCCCGGGCTGGTCTTGAGTTCCTGGGCTAAAGTGATCCATCCACCTTCAGCCTCCCAAAGTATGGGATTACAGGTGTGAGCCACTACACCCAGCTGAAAAAATATTTTGAGGTCTTGGACATCTCATGCAGTCATCATCTGAACACCACTGGGAGGCAGTTTATAGCATCAAAAGAATTATTTGCTACATTTGTAAAAGATGATTTAACATATTTTGACCAATTCTAACAAGTTATAAATAATAAATCAGTTGCTGCAAGGTGAATATCATCAGACTCACAAGACGGTAACACACTGTATTCCAGCATAATGAATGACTCTAACCATCCAACAGTTCTACAAGTCACTATCAGCAAGGCCACTTGCCTAGCCCAAAATACTAGCATATGCAATCTTCCAAACTGTACACGTCAAACCATTCTGATACCTAATGGCCTCTAACCTTCCAATAACAACAACAACAAAAAAAAAAACATAAAATCAAACACACAAACCAAACAAAAACAATAAATCAAATCCCACTAAAAAGGTCAGTCATGATATATGGAAAGCACATTCACCACCCCAAAAACCAAAAAACGCTAATTCTACTTACTCACTCTGTGACTACTCTCATCCTCGGGGTTTGTTTGTTTGCTTGTAAATCAGGAAAATGGAAACAATATCACCTACTTCATAAGACTGCTGTGGTTTAAATAAGGCAAAATTATATGAAAAGCCTTTTGCCAACTGTAAAGTTTTATGATGGTTTTAAAACACTTAATTCTTTTCTCTATACAGAACTTTTAATAAAACTTCTCTACATAGTATATATCTAGAAGACTGTAGCCTTTTATGTTCTCAAATTCTCTGTGGAGGTTCTTCTAACTATTTCTCTGGGTATACTTCTGCTTGAAGGTATGTGACCTGCAGGTATTTTATTATGATTCTAATAACTCGTAGGAAAGCTGTAACTCCGATTTGGATGTTACTGACTTGACAGAAACATTTTTCCAATCAAAACTTGACTCATCAACCAACATTTCTTTAACAATAAGTCCATGCCAGTGTGCCCCCAAACTGTCCCTAAAAAGGACAACTCCATGTTCTCTATACCATGCATTTATTTGATGTGAAACTCCTCTGCTTTTTATCTATATTCTCAGACACAATGTTTAAGTTTAATTCATTTTCTTACATAGGAAAAAGTAGAAGGTCTTGACAGATCTATGTATCTTTACTTCTTGTCCCATGCTTAATATCTGAATATCAGGTTTCAATTTGTACAAAATACTTACTTCTTACTATGTATCTAACACGTAGGGAGATAAAATAATATCTTTATTAGCAGTAGTGCTAAAATTACCATGAATGCTAAAAATAAAAAAATTCTTGGCCGGGCGCGGTGGCTCACGCCTGTAATCCCAACACTTTTGGGAGGCCAAGGCCGGCGGATCACAAGGTCAGGAGATCGAGACCCTCCTGGCGAACATGATGAAACCCCGTCTCTACTAAAAATACAAAAAAAATTAGCCGGGCGTGGTGGTGGACGCCTGTAGTCACAGCTTCTCGGGAGGCTGAGGCAGGAGAATGGCGTGAACCCGGGAGGCAGCGGAGCTTGCAGTGAGCGGAGATCACGCCACTGTACTCCAGCCTGGGCGACAGAGTGAGACTCCGTCTCAAAAAATAAATAAATAAATAAAATTATTCTAATACTATTTATGAAAACATTAACATTTACTAACATGAATCAATACAAATGACAACATTAAAAAACACAATATATTGTCTATTTTCTTATCATTTAGCAAATTTTCAACACATCTTGATTTATTTTCGTCACGGTGTTTCTTTTATGACACTACACAAGTGAACAGAAAATACTACTGCACAAAGCGCTTGGCAACCCTGATTTTAGAGGCGAACCCTCTGAATCTGGTAAGGTTACTATGTTCAAATCCCAGTATGACAGCTGTTGACAAATACCTCCTTAGCTTGTTGGATATTTCCATACTATTAAATTATATTTAATAATGTTGTTTCCTATTAAATTAAATCAAAAAATATATATGCATACATATCATTACATTTATGATACCTAAATACCTGAATGTATGTGAGTATAAAGTATCTTTCTCATCTCTATTTGTTTTGGAGGGGGTTGGGGGCAGGTCCTCACTTTTTAAAAAAGGAATCTCTACACAGGTCATACCTCCACTGCAATGTGCAGGCTATTACGGTGCCTTGGGCCAGGCTGGGGTTCCCCATAGCACCCTCCTGCACAAGTCTATGTAGTGTCCTGGACCCCTCCCTACCATCATCAGTGCTCAGCCCAATATACAGTTTCTACCTCTGCTTCCTGGGGTCCAGGCTGTCTGCATACACACATTCTTCTATTTCCTAACTTTCTTGATGAAAATTAAGCATGTCTACTAAATTATCCCAACCACATCCAACAAAAGGAAAAGTAAGTAAATTTTAAAATACACAGATATTGAAAATGGAGGAGGCTGGGGAGTAGGGTGTGAGAGCATAGTGACAATGAGGCCAAGGTTTTAGAACTAGTTGTCACATTTACCAGAAGGTTATTAATATTTAATGACTATTTTTTAAAAACTGTCCAGACAAGCCTGGCCAGAATCTTACAAATACATACCACACAAAGGATAACACAAGTGGGTGTGGTAGTCTCAGCATAACCAATAAATACTTAATAGAAGTGGAAGTTATGGGAGATAGACTTCAGATCAATATAAGAAAAAGGAAGAACTAAGGATAAGAGTTGTACAAAAAAGGAATGGGTTACCTTATGAGGTAGTGGGCTCCCTGTCATTAGAAGTATTCAAGAATGCTGCATATCATATCCCCCTCTTGGAGATTCACAATGCACATTAGCATATTAAAGGTTCTGAGAAGTCCTGCAGTAAAGAAACCTGTTTAACTTTGTTTAATGCAGCATTTCCCAAATTATTTGACCACAGAACCCTTTTCCCACCCCCACCCCACCTCAATAATACTTATTTTCTGTGGGAGTAGAATTCCTCAGAATACATTATAGAAGATGAGCTACATTTTTAAAAAATGTGGTATTCAATATGTACCTGAATAACAACCTGTCAGGGATCTAGAAGAAACTGCCACACAAGGTAAAATATTGGAGAAGGTCCTTAACTCATTTATACCTAGTGTTCCATTATTGGAACACTAAGCTTGTGGGAGTTATTTATATCCTACTGCTCAAGGTCATCGCCAAGGTCTGATTTTCACAAAAAAATCTGCAATCTCCGGTATAAATGGGTTAAGGTCCCTTCTCTAAAATTCTATCCCATGTCAAAGTAAAGAGCTATAGGATCTTGATTATTTATTTTAAAAGGTTTAATGAGAGAAAGGCTAGTAGAATAAAAAGGTAGTAAATGCAAGGATTAACTAGTTCAAGTGCCTCCACGAAACATGTTCAAATCCCAGTCCCCAAAAGGAAGAGAGACACCACAAGCACCATAAACTATCAAAAGGAAACCTTGGCCAAATATCTGCTATATCTACTCTACCCACCAAGTTAATTACTATTTGAGAGAGAGGATTTAAAATTTTTTTTAAAAAGTAGTAGTCTTGCATTAGGTGACTACCCTATTCCAGCTATCTTATTTGAGTTTAATTTTTTTCATAATACATACTCTCCTAATAAAGTTAATATTTGTTTGATGGTTAGTCACTAGATTGCCCTGTGCGTTCAAAGAAATGTTTAAGAGTGATGAACAGCCATTAAAAAAATCTATCAAAGTAGATATTAGGAAAAAGTGTTCGCCTATATGCCCCACATGATTACATTTCTCTCTCTCTTTTTCTTTTTCCTTTTGAAGAATTATATAAAACAACACACGCTAAAAATTTACTATCAGATATGAGGCTAACTAATCCAATATTAAGTTTAAGAATGTAAATAAACACTAGTCCCAAATTTCAAAGTCAAGTTTCCACAGTTAAATTAACCTAAGTCATTTTGCACATATACTAAGGCCATCAAATATAACAGCATATTAAGTAACATAAAACACTACAGGAATCTTAATCTTCTTTTTTTTTAAGAGATGAGGGTCTTGTTTTGTTGCCCAAGCTGAACTTGAACTGGCTCAAGCCATCCTCCTGCCTCAGCTTCCTGAGTAACTGGGGCTATAGGCACACACCATTGGGCCTGGCTAGGAATCTGAACTTTTGAATTTCTTGACTTTTGAATTCTCAACCCGAACCATTGCATTAAGGACATTTTTGGAAAAACGGGACTTTTACATTTTAACAGGTTATCAAATGGTGGAACATGCAGGCTTAGTTGTATTAGCAGAAACACAAATGCATTTGAAATATAGCTACATGAAATTAGACAGTTCATTTCCACTTAGTGCAAACAGCAAAGCCCTATTTCTGAGAGAGAGCTTTTGTGCAAAAAAAAAAAAAAATCACAATATTTGAATTCTTATCCAGCTAGCATCAGGATCAGGCATACTATGTCTACCTAGTGAAAGTACTTACCAATTTTGGGGAAACTGGCTCTCCTTCAGCAATCTAGCCCCCTATAACAGAAGAACGGGAAAATGGAATTAGACAACACACACATACTTATGACATGTCATTAAAAGTTGAAGACTCAAAGATTTCTGATTTTAAGAAGAAAAAAACAAAACACATACAAGTTTCCAAAGTTTTAAAACCCAAAAGAAAAAAAGAGAAGCAATAGGTAACTTTTACAAAGCAAAGAAAGAACTCAAGGGCAGTTAAATCGCTACTTTTCCATACTTTTTCAAGACAAGGAAAAGTAAGTAGTTGATAATTTTCCTTTCATAAGAGACATATAGAAATGAAATGCACCTCACTTAAATAACATACAAATACTCCTTCATCCCCAACAAGTGACCTCTACTATCAGTTGTTTTACATTAACAAATTAAGCTAACATCACTAGTTCTTAGTTTGGTCCTCATAAAAGGCATTTTCTTCAATTAATCTTGAAATGTACTTGCCTTATGTAAGGCTTTAAAATCACAGCATTTTATTATAATATATAGTCAGAATTTTAACTAAACTTTTCTTCACATTCTTAGATGTGTCTCACCTTTTTCTTTTTTGAGACAGAGTCTTACTCTGTTGTCCAGGCTCGAGTGCAGTGGCACAGTCACAGCTCACTGCAGCCTCAACCTCCCAGCCTCAAGCAATCCTCCCACCTTAGCCTCCTGAATAGCTGGGACTACAAGTGTGCCACCATGCCTGGCTATTACTTTATTTTTTTGTAGAGTCAGGCCTCACTATGTTGCCCAAGCTGGTATCAAACCCCTGGGCTCGAGCAATCCTCCCCACCTCAACCTCCCAAAGTGCTGGGATTACAGGTGTGAGCCACCGTGCCTGGCCACGTCTTACCACTTTAAATTGTAAACCACATACGCAAAAGCTATTTGTTTCCACACCACATATCTAATCAGTGATAAAGCCAGAAAGAAAATTTACGTTTTAGGATCCCAATCCAATATTAGGAAAACAAAAATTAAAACTTTTCCCTTAATATTTTAATATTTAATTATTTAAACTCCACTATGCTATGCTCTAAAACTACATGTCTTCCTTTTGCCTTAAATATGGTGTTTGTTGACTGGTATTACCCCAATAGTGTCTCATTTCCTCAGGGAATATTTCAAAAGAGCTTCATGTTTCTCAGATTGTAAATCTTTGTTTAACCATGTACAGTTATACCAAACATACAATAAAATTATTTGAAAGGGCCCCGGTTCATACAGTTAGCATTCATTTCCAAAAGAAAGTAATGTGCTATTCTATTCTGCCTTTTCTTTAGCAGCTGTCCTTTTTAAATTTCTCAGGCCCATGCAAATAACAATTTTAATCACAAAGGCTAGGATGACTCCCAACCAAAAGAGAAATCATGCAACAATCTGTAGAACAATGCAGCTATTAAAAAGTGGATTCTTAACACTACTGATATCTATAGGATTCTGTGCCACTCAAAAGGTTGCCTGAAACAGTAGCAGGCACATAGTAAATGCTCAATAAATGTTTGTTAAATCAATGAATTGACTAAATAGACACTTAAGCTGTCTGTTGAGGGCTTATCTTCCCTATTAGGGCTTTCATGTTAGCTCCTTCAGGCTGGCGATAATTTCTTATGCATCGATTTCTAGCAGCATTATTTGTTAAATGAATGACTTTCTGGAACTGTTTTCATCCACCTTGTTGATTAGGAAGTAAAATATTACCACTTTAAAATATAATAAAAAGGAAAAGACTGATAAATTGGACAAAATTAAAATTAAGAACTTCTGTTCATCAAAAAAACACCATTAAGAAAGTGAAAAGGTAAACCACAGAACTGGAGGTGATAATTATAGTATATATAATCAACACAGGCTTATACCCAGAATATATAAAACATGTTGAAATTCAAAGTGATGAGGATGGGACTGGGATTTTAACTTATAGAGCATTTGAGAAAGTATTAATAAATGCTGCTGAAAAGGCATATCCAACAAAAGACAGCACAATGTACATATACCTTATCTCCAAGGCATTTTCCCCAAAAATGAGTAGCAGGGCCAATCCTAAACTGATAAAGAATTTTGCCATGATATCCTGAAATCATGATGTCATCAAACTGCTCATAAGACTACTTGTAGGGACTGCAGAAATCGCATAGAAAATCAAAGCTGGAGAAGTTAAGTGATTTCCCCAAAGGTCACTCAGCTAGCTGATAGTGAAGCTGGAGAAGAGCTTACGGGCTCGAGATTCCTTGGCTGAGCTCATTTTCCACTAGACCTTACTTTTTCTTAACCCGCTGCAGCAGTTACTCTTCTAAAAAACAAACTACAATAAACACTAGCAAAATATTTTTGGAAAAGTCTGCAAATAAAGTTTTAAAGGAAAATCACATAAGTAAGCCATCTAGGGCAAGTCTTAAAACATGAAATCCTGGCCGGGCACAGGGGCTCATGCCTGTAATCCCAGCACTTTGGGAGGCCAAAGCGGACAGATCACAAGGTCAGGAGATCGAGACCATCCGGGCCAACATGGTGAATAATAATTATTTAGTAGAAGTCGCTACTAAAACTACAAAAAAAAAAAAAAAAAATGAGCTGGGTATGGTGGCGTGCACCTGTAATCCCAGCTACTTGGGAGGCTGAGGCAGGAGAATCCCTTGAACCTGGGAGGCAGAGATTGTAATGAACTGAGATCGCACCACTACACACACTACACTCCTGCCTGGTGACAGAGTGAGTCTCCATCCTCCCCCCCAAAAAAAGAAAAAAAAACCCATGAAATCCTTTAAACCTAAGGGATCCCCATGAATGGGCTTCAGAGGGGTCTGTCAACTCCTTCATACTATATGCTAAATTCTATACATATCAGCAGAGGTACAGTTTTCTTGGAAGAGGGTCCATGGCTTTCACTGGTTTCACAATGAGGTTCACATACCCAAAAAGAAGAAATTATTTTTAGACTAATAATTCTTAAACACTGTGCACATGAGAAATCCCAAAGTCTTTCTTCTTAACATTGCATATTAATTGACTACCATTTGGAAATTGACAAAAAAAAAGAAAAGCAAATATTTTATTTCTATAATTTAAGAAGACTCAGCAGCAAAAAGCAACATCTATACACACATTTGTGCTTTTTACACTATCCATACGTAAAACATATTTATGTTTGAAATTCAAGTTTGATTTCTTCATGTTAAGCTGGTTAAAAGCCACTTAGTTTGTTTTTCACATACATTTCACGCTTCTAACTAAGGTACTTCAAAATTTTAATCATATTTGCTTAAATTTTTAAAAGATAGATTTGTTCTTGAAAAATATATCCAAAACACCTAAGTTAGAGTAAATGAAAGTATTTGTGCTTTTAGAGGTGTTATATTATCTTGCTAATATAATGTCATACAAAAACTGAAGATTGTTTACCTCTCCAGAACTTCAAAGGTAACTGCTCTAATTAGAGCTGGTAAAGAAACAAATCATCCGATTTCTGATATGGTTATAATATTTTAAATATTATAAATAAATCTAAAGGGATTAATAATTATTTAAATACCTTTTGTGAAATATCTGAAACCGTTGCATATGAAGAATCTGTATCAAACAAACAAAACTTGCAGAGAAAAAGTTTAATACTAGCTCATGTTTTAAATTAGGCTAAAATTTAATTCACCCTACTACAAATTTCAAATAATTAAGTTTATAGCCTGTGCTCAATCATAAATTTTGATAAGGGACTAGAATAGCACAGATAATTGTCATTCAAAGATACTTTAAAATGTCACCTTACCCAGAAGATTCAATCTCTTCTCTTCCCCTACTATACCAAACTGATAGAGGCCCCCAAACTGAGTTTTATATACCACTGGCTTTACTGTTTTTTATCCGCCCTTCCTAACTTCCAACAGAAAGCAAGTAAGTTTGAAATAAATGTAAATGCAGATAAGTGGTTAGAAGAAAAGGCAGAATCCCATTTGATCAGTTTAGTCCTTGGGGCCCCAACATCTTAAAAACCATCCCTCTTGTCCCCATCTCTCTTACCCTCTCCTGGACATTCCTCTAGTTCTTCTCCCTTTACTCTCATGGAGCATCGATCTTCCCCTCATCATTACTGGATCATTTTGTTCCTTCTATCTTAGAAAATAATAATTAAAAAAAAAAACCCTCCCTTGACTCCATATCCTTCTCTAGTTATCGTCCCTGTCTGGGCTCACATTTATAGCAAAACTCCGTAAAAGAGTTAACCATACTCCCTCGCTCTAATTCCTCTCCTCCCATTCTCTACAGAACACAACCCATTAGGGCCTTTGCCTCCCTCCATTCTTGTGAAGATCACCAATGATTTAACAGTTGTTAAATCCAACAGAAAACAGTCTTCACTTCCTTGACCAGTATCTTTTGGCCCATTGATCATGTCTTCCTCCTGGAATTTTTTTTCTCTTGACTTCCAGGAGATCATCCTCTCTTGATTTTCTTCTTCATCAATCTGGCTACTCTCCTTGGTTTCTTTTGCTCGTTCCTCCTTGCCTCCAATACCTCAAAATGTGGAACTGTCCCAGGACTCAGTTCTTGGAACTCTTCCCCTTAGGTGATCTCACACAGTCTCATGGCTATAGAAGGATCTACGCACTGGCAATTCCCAATGTTTACCTCCAGCACACATCCTTCCCTGAATTCCAAACTCATATACCCAACTGCCCACTCAACACTGGTCAAATAGGTATCTCAAGCTCAACACATCCAAAACTAAACTCCTGACTACCTCTCCCCTAACTTCCTCCTCAGAGTCATTCCCATCTCAATAAATGGTAACTCCACCCCCTCAGAAGAAAAAATCCTAAAAGTCATCTTAAGACTCTTCGTTTTCCACACTCCACATCTACTCCAACAGCCAACTATGTGCCTCTACCTTCAAAATACATCCACCATGATCACTTGTCTCAACTCTCCTACCACCTCCCTGGTCCAAGTCACCTTCACCTTTCACCTAGATAATTACAACAGCCTCCTAACTGGCCTCCCCAATTCTACCCTAGCCCCACTGAGGTATATTCTCTCACGAGTCAGAGTAAGCTTTTCAAAATCCAAGACAGATCTTGTTACTCCTCTGCTCAAAACCCTCCAATGGCTTCCCATCATACACCGAGAAAAGATGAAGTTCCTTTCAATGGCCCACAGGCACTAAGTGATTTGGGCCTCTGCCATTCTAAGCCGTCCCATCTCCCTATTGCTCAATCCATTCCAGCAACACTGGCTGCTTTTCCTTACTTCAGACCCTCCAGGCAAGTTCCCTTCTTGGGGCTCTGGAACGCTCTTTTTCTCCAAATACCTTCATGGCTCGCTCACTCCCTTAAATTACTGAGGAAATCTACAGCAGTTTCAGGAGCAAAAGAAAACTAAAATAAAGACTAAAACTATAATCAGAATTATTCTGCTCCCCAACTTTTACTTAGGCTCTTCCTTATATCAAGAATAATACCTTTTTACCCTCTCTCTAACTATCCAAATCGTACCCACACACTAGGGTCCAGATAAAGACTCGCTGATTAACAGAGATCTGCTCAAACCATCCTACTTCCCAATTCTTCCTTTGTTTAAACTCCTGAAGTGTTTATCATCTTTCTCATTCATTTTTAAATTTAACCACATACTGCCTCACATTTTAATCTAACCCACATGACATCTCCCTAACTAGAACACACATACACATACACAAAAGAATAGAATACCTTGTACAAGTAGTTCTCAATACTAGATCAGGATAACACATAAAACTTCAAAAAATACAGATCCACAGGCCCTACCCTTAAAGATATTGAATATATTATGCCTTATTTAGAACCCATAGATCTGTATTTAAGTTTCCCCAAAAGATTCTAATAGGGAGCCAGGATTAGAAACCACTGCCTGCCTTACTGTACTCTATTTCCTTCAGTACCTAGGAAAGTAGGCCCTCAAACAGCCTCAAACTAGAATGGACACCTCAGAGGGCCAGATCCGTAACTTCATTTCACGGAGGAACAGAGGTCCAAGAAGTCCAGATGACTAGCTAATATCTACAAAGATAATGATAGGCAAAGCTCAGCCTAAAAGCCAGATTAATTGCTCTCAATCTAGGAATCTTTCCATTAAACTGTACATAAATAAATGATAGCAATAAAAATCCACAAATCACAGATAGGTGTAGTAAACACTGATTATTTATTACTTGACCAATGGTTATAGTGCCTAAGTTCTAAAACAGTGCATATTAACTTCTATATGCTTGAAAAATGTGAGCCATACTAGCTAATAAAAGACTTTGAGGCCAGAGGGCAATTACAGGAAGGCTTTTAAGTAAAATAAAAAAACAGAACAATTTTTCTAAGTCCTCTTATATACAAAAACTGTTAGACCCATTTTTTATGGTTGAGAAGAAATAGCAGAAATAAATGGAAAGAAGAAATCTTGCTTCCTCACTCTATAAAGTATAAAAATTCATATTCACAAGCCTCCACAGCTCTCACAAAGCTGTTTACTGAGCCTAATCATCATAACGAAAACTTCTTAATTATAGATCAGACTTACTAAATCACTCCATATCCCAAGACAACTCAAACTCTATCTTAATAATCAGTTAACCTCAGGACTAAACCTCTTGTCATTAACAACAAAAAAACAACTCAGGTATCTATAAGGCATTATAAAAGAGTTCGAGCTTACTTTGGTGTACAGGGATTTAAGGAAGTGCCTCCTATTAACACTAATGGGAGTTCTGGGTGTAAACCATAAGCACCAAGGAGGAGGATCAATGCCCAGCACTGCAACTGTGAGAACCCTTTCTATTGCACTAACTGTAACTACTGGGAGTTGTTCACTCAGAAATGGGATAATAGACCCAAATTCCTGTCTCTAAAGCACAAAGATAATTCAAATAAAAGTCACTAAGAAAGGTCAGTGCTAGATACCAGATTTTAAAAATAAACAAGAAAAAGCTAAACTAAAAGAACAACACATTAAGAAAATTTTATAAAACAGCATCAACGTACATAGAAGAAACTAGTGAATTGCTAGAGAAAAATATCTCACACAAAAATAAATTCAACAAGATTAAAACAACCAAATTTTAAAAAATTAAGCACAGTAAACCCATCTATAGCCAGAAGCTTATCCAGAGAAACACATACACACAAAACAAAACTCAAGTCCTGCCCTGAAGGAGCCCTCAGTATACTACAGTCCTTGCTTTAAACACAGAAGAAAACTCCTGCTGCATTGATAGCCAAGAATAATCAAGAGTACTTCCAGATAAATGGACAATGATCACAAGCTACCGAGGACGAGCAAAACTAACTAAATAAAAATTATAGCACCTTATTGTGTTCCATCCTGCCTCACTTCTCAATATGGCACTGCTGTACTCACTAGGCTGGAAAATGAGCAGGTGCCTTTCAGGCTATAGAAAAATTAGACACACACACACACATACACACACACACACCCTAAACACAAACACAAACACAAAGGGAATGATACTCTTTCACTTGAAGGGGCTTAAAAAACGCAAGGCTTTGCTGCAGGCCTACAAAACTCAGAGTAGGCCTTACCGAAGAAGTGAGAAAAAAGCCAAGGTTTATTCCAAATCCACATTTCAAGCACTAAAAGAATTAACATTTATTTCAGTTAAAAGGTTTTGGCAACAATCCATTTTTTAAAAAGGAAAGAGAAATTAAGATTTTCCCTGTTTCTAGCATGAAAGAAAATTAGAATCTCTTCTCTCTGACTATACAGGTTTAGCTCCACAACACAAATAAAAAAGAACCCTGACTTTAGGCCTAAAAACTAAAAATGGTTCCATACAATTTACATTTTTTAAAAAATCTTCATAGTCCAACATATTGATCCTCTCTCACCACTGCTATCCTTAATGAACATTTATCTTTTTAATCAGTACTTTGAAATGTCAATGAGAAGCGGAAACAGCTACAATACACTGGGAATTTTAACTTTTGAAACAAAAACCACAAAGAAACAGGAGTCTGAAACATAAAGCCTCAATCATGCTGATAAGTAAGTGGTCCTAAAACTTGAAAGTGAAAGCAATACAGACCTCAAAAAGAAGTTGTTTGCTTGATATTAATGCTAGCCTTTAAAACCAAAAATATGTTCTGTTACAGAAGACTGAAATCAGGGCTTCCATTAACCTTGTTTAAAAAAAAAAAAAAAAAATCCCACGAGCATGGATTTTTTTCCTAAGTCTCTTCATCAGAGCAGCATGGGGTCCCATTAGGCACCCTATTTTACTTCCACCTTATAAATAACGTTAGCTATTCGCTATTTCCATGGAAACCAAGTACAGAGAAACCCACTTAAATGAATACCGGTTAAAAGAATAAGTTTTATTTTAGAAAGATTTTACTGCTATAGATGAACTCTTCTGGGGAATACTACAAAGTCTTCTTAAGTATAATTTTTTAAAAATATATCTTTGGTGTAGAGGGAACTTATTAAAGGTCCTGTTAAATAAGTATACTCCTTGCACTAAATGGTGGATGTCAAATAACATCATAACATTAAAGACACATTTCCAATGCACAGGGGTTTAGATGCACAACTTCCACTGACTATGCTTCCCCATGCATTGGGGTGGAATAATTACACCTATGGGTCTAATTTAAACTAATGCAACCAAATAAATTCAGAAATAAGGCTACCATTACCTTGTAGTGACTCCTAATGAACACACCCCACAACTGCAGGCATATGTACAACTTACAGTGCAAAGAAGAGCAAACAAGGGAGCACGTAACAAGTTTCTAACCACTGTTACCACGTCTAAAGATAGCAGGTAATCAAAAGTCCCTCCTCAACAAACCATTTTATAAGTAAAACAAGCATTCCTTAACCAATACATACATTCGCGTTAAATAGAAATAGAATATGCACAAGAAGGAAGTGTGGAACAAGACTTGTGACCTGCAACTTTAAGCTGACTTACATATTGTCCTGCTTATGCTAAGAAATGATGGTCCATACAACCGTCACAGATAGGCAAGTGTACATAAAATAAAATGCAGCTCCTAAGAACACAAGCTCAAAACTAATAATCTCAGAACTTCTAAAAGCAGAAGGGGTAAGAGAAGCTAGAATCTTTCCAGCAGGCATGGTTCTTCATTAAGTTAGCGGTGGCTCAGACCTCTTCAGTAAGTTAAAAGACAAATGAAAATATTATCCTAAAAGGGATTACCAGTATTAAACTAACAATGTATGGAAAGAACATTCTCATACACATTTTTCCTTTGAGTATACCAATGTACTTAACTGTAGTGCATGTTTTGAAAACACAAAGTTACTTTTCTGTTACGTTTTACACATTATAGATAAAGATTGGCAAAATGCTGGTAATTGTTAAAGTTAGGGAATAGGTTCCTGGGGTTCGTTATATTATTCACTCTATTTTTATAAAAGTTTTTAAATTTCCATAATAAGAAGTTATTTAAAATCCTATAAAGTTAAGGCTCTTGTCTCAAATGTTTTTGTCTATGTATAATTAAATAATAGATGAAATGCCTGGTATAGATCTTAGAAGCTACTGAACTGATTGACTGACTGAGACAGTGTTTTGCTCTGTTGCCCAGGCTGGAGTTCAATGGCATGGCACAATCGCAGCCTCGACCTACCAGGCTCAATCAATCCACCCAGCTCAGATTCCCTAATAGCTGCGACTACAGGCACATGTCACCACATTAGGCTAATTTTCATATTTTTTGTAGAGACAGGGGTTTGCCATGTTGCCCGTGCTGGTCTCTCTGTTTTTTTTTTTTTTTTTTTTTAAGACGGAGTCTCGCTCTGTCACCAGACTGGAAGCAGTGGCGCGATCTCAGCTCACTACAACCTCCGACTCCTGGGTTCAAGCAATTCTCCTGCCTCAGCCTCCTGAGTAGCTGGGATTACAGGCATGTGCCACCATGCCCAGCTAATTTTTGTATTTTTAGTAGAGACAGGGTTTCACCATGTTGGCCATGATGTTCTCAAACTCCTGACCTCATGATCCACCCGCCTCGGCCTCCCAAAAAGCTGGGATTACAGGCGCGAGCCACCACGCCCGTCCCTATGCTGGTCTCAAACTCCTGAGCTCAAGTGATACAGCAGCCTCAGCCTCCTAAAGTGCTGGGATTACAGGCATGAGCCACCACACCCGACCAGAAGCTACTGATTTTAAATCCAGCATAGACATTAACTCAACATGTAACCGTAATTAATTTCCAAGTTTTACTTTTCTTACCAAACAATTACGTTAACAATTTAAACTCACTAGGAGAAATCTAAAAAGGAAAGGGTCTGCTCCTTTTCAACTATCAACCAACGAAATGTAAAAGATCAATATACAATAAGGCATCATCATCATATTTTGTATTTACAAATCAAGAAAGCAGTCTTCTCAATTAATAAATCAAAATATTTTAGCAATTCACAACACCAAAATTTCCATTTTATTCTCTAATTAGGTCCATGAGACTAGAGAGCAATCTAATAAATTAATGCTTATTTTAGTTAAGTAACATGCCTACCTCTTCCTCAACTTTGCCTCTATCTCACCCACAACCAGAAAATACAGCAATTTCTGAGGTAAAAAGGTATTTTTCTATTCTCTTCCTTAGTTCAGATATAAAGTATTTTACAAATATTCAGTTACTGTGCAAGTGATTTTAAGCTATCTATTCTCCAAATTCCAGCTGAGGGCCCAAAGTAGGGGGTGTCCCCACAAACTGTTAAAGCTTAAGGTTTTGATAATAGCTCAGTATCTCCCTGTTTAAAAACTAATAATTACAATGGTGTTTTGTTTTTAAGAGAAATAGAAATAAAACAGTGGTGGTTTGAAGGGAAGGATGAACAACAGGCAGGGGACGGAGAAGAGACCATCGAGAGAGGAAGCAGAGAAGTGGGAGAGGACAGGCAACAGAGGGAGTCTGGGCAATCATCGGCGACATCTCTACATAGGAGCACCACCGGCTGGACAGGGTCCTGCAGAGCTGAAATGGGACTGCACCCCCGTCACATACAGCACCACTTTTTACAAACTAAGCAGGGACAAACTGATCTTCAAAATTGTATAATTCTTTAACTCAACCCCCAAAACGCTTGTAGAATCTAACACATATTTATCAAAATAAAATATACTTCTAAACTTTCCACAATTCCATTCAACTTCAACCAAGTGAAGCAACTTTTACAGATTCTGCAAAGAGCTAAAGTAAAGAAAACTTAATACTATATATTTGCTATGCTAATTTTAAAACTATAATGCTTTACTTACTGGCCACTCTATTGCAAAATAAGATTACAATTATTTAACTGAAAGAAAACTATACAACCCACTATAAAATTGCTTAGTTTTAAAAATACTTATTGAGTCAAAGTACAACACTTTATTTTTTAAAAAACTGGTTGTAATTTCTCCTTAAAAAGCAGATACAATGTTTTAGGAACAGGGACAAAATAAAATATACACCAATTCACCTATAGTAAATACACCTATTCACCTACTAGACCTTTATCAAACGGTACAGCTGGGTTAGTGAGAACAAAAAGTTAATAGGAGCCATTATGCTACTTTAACTTAAATTCTTGCTAAGGGTAACATATACCATATTCAGATTGTTTTGGTAAGCTATTACAAATACTTTTGTTGAATCACAGAAAAAAACATATCAAGGATCAAAGACCAAAAACGTTCAGATCCTAATCAGTAGTGAATGAATAAAGTTAATTATATTTTACACTTAATGATCTTTCCCCTTACCTCAATTACTGGTTTCACTTATAAGAGAGATACATACATACATTCTAATGGATATATTAACTCAATTATTTACCCCAAAACCCCTCAAATCTGAGGAGATCATTGTACCTTTTCTCATAATCAACTTGTTCTCAGGCTCAGTTTCTAGGCTCAATGTAGGTA